ACAGATTTTTGATAGCAGCATTTTTCAGGTGTTTTGCTAGCGACAAGCCGAGATTCACGCAGCTCGCTTACCGGAGTCTTCCTGACTCGGCATAAAAAAAAAAAAACCAGCCAACAAGGTTGTTTTAAGAGACTCTTTACACTTCTTAAACATTTATAAGACCAGGTTTAATAAACAGAGCAAAGCAAAGCACTCCTAGGTGACTCTTGGGGACAGGAGGAGAAATCATATGGAGAACAAAAATTAAGAAACATTTTCTCTACTTATCTTGCCTATGGGAGACAGGCTTCTGGAAGTAAAAGTTACTACTATGCTTTGATCTTTATTTTGACTTTGTATTCCCCCCTTATTGTCTCATAAATTTTATAAAAATTTGTCCTTAAAAATAGCTGGTTTTATTAATTTGGCTTATTGCAAGAGTGGAGAATTTTCAAAACACTTGTCATTTGAGACTGGACCTGAGATTCCTAGCACCTATAACCACAAACTATGCCTTTGAGTTTCTCGAATTTGGGGACCTGCGGACACTGAGTCAAGATTTGCCTGTAGGTTGTCATGACTCTTGGCTCCAGTATGATCTTGTCTTAGGTAGGGCTTCTTAAACATTTTTCCATGTGTACCTCTTTTTGCCTGAGAAATTTTCCTGCAATATTGGATATGTAGATATAGAGATCAGCACATCTAGAGTGCAATGGATAAGCCGAGGCCTGGGAAAACGATCATGGTATCTCCCCTGCCAGGTTAGTAGTATAAGACCAAGTCCATGTTTATGCATTCATGACACTTCCTTATGACACAGATAAAAACAAAAGTCATTACAATTCCCCATGCCATACGATAGGCACATATCATCTCAATTCCTTAGCAAAACCCCCACAAGGAAGGCATTATCCCTATTTAATAGGTGAGGAAAATGTGCCAAACACCCTTGAAGTGTTCACAATGTGGCAGGCAAGATAAGACTTGCACACCAACGCCCAGGGTGCAGGCACTGAGGCCTAATGCCTCCCTGTTTGATTCCACCCAGGTCTTCGGAAAGCCCTTCTCCTTCCAGAAGGCACATGGGAAATCATTTAGCCCGCTGCGCGATTTTTATGAGTAAGCCACAAATCATTTAGGGAAACACAGGTGGTATGGGTGGCGTCACACCTAAGATCCAGAAACTTTATAGACTAATAATACTCTTTTCTCCTCCACAGCATACCTTTCTCAGAACCCCTAAGACATCAAGTATGGTCCAGCAGGGTGAACAGAGTCAGGACAAGTGTGTAGCCCTAGTCTGCAGTAATATAAGGCACAGAAGCACAGAAATTCTGCCCACACATGATCTGGGAGGATTTTAGGAGGAAGTAACTGGAGTGGCTTGAGCATAGGCATGGAAGGATTTTGCACATGTAAAAGTGGGGATTGGAGAACTAACTGAGGGTTTAGAGTGAAATCACACTGGCAGCTTAAAAGCTGGACAAAGGCGGCTGCTTGCATCACACAGTGGGAATGCAGAGAAGTGAGCTGCTTGAACAGATACCCAGGAAGAAATATGGTCAAGATTTGCCTGTAGCCGGGCGGTGGTGGCGCACGCCTTTATCCCAGCACTCGGGAGGCAGAGACAGGTGGATCTCTGTGAGTTTGAGACCAAGCCTGGTCTACCTAGCGAGTTCCAGGACAGGCTCCCAACAATACAGAGAAACCCTGTCTCAAAAAAACGAACAAACAAAAAAAGATTTGCCTGTAAACTGTCATGACTAGGACTCTTGGCTCCAGTATGATCTTGTTTTCAGCAAGGTTTCTTAAGCTTTTGACCATGTTTAACTCTTTTTGCCTAAGAAGTTTTCATGCAACCTTGGATATGTAGACATAAATCAAACACTTACTGATAATAGGTCATAAAGGACTTAATTTAAAAATAATTCTTTGGGATATATATAATCACGCACATATACAATTTTATTATTTATTAAAGAAAAAGTAAATTTTCACCAAACTAGATTGATGTTTTCCTTGCTTATGATAAAGAAATTGACCAAAAACATCTTGAGTGAGGAAAGGGTTATTTTAATGTATAGATTAGAATCCATCATTGAAGAAAGTCAACCCAGAGGCAGGAACTGAGGTAGAGAGCTTGGAAGAACACTATTTTCTGGCCTGCCTTTTTATGCCACCCAGGACTATCTGCACAGGGGTAGTTCTACCCATAGTGGGCAGACACTCTGGCAATCATCAGTCAAGAAAAGACTCCACAGGACTTGCATAGGGGCCAATTTGCTGGAGGTGTTTCTCAACTGAGGTTCCTTCTTCCCAGATGAGTGTAGTTTGTATCATGCTGACAAGGAATGAACCAGAATAAATGTGCTTGCCTGTTTCTACACAAAGAATTTAATCTTGGCCAAATATTTGATGCCGCAAACTCAGAGCTCCTTTGATGTCTTTCTGAGTTGACTGGTATTTGATTGTATTACCATCAATGCCAAGAATGCCACCTTGCACAGATACATAGTACAAAGATCATAGACATATGTTTAGATCATCTCAGAAATCACTGGAAGTTCTTTCCTAATTGAAAGTGGAAGGCACAATAAGTTTTTGCTTGTGTGTGTGTGAAATTTGATTTCTAATTTAATTTTAACATTTATTTCTATTTGTGTGGTGTGTGGGGGGGCACTTATGTGCAATGTCACACATGTGGAAGTCAAAAGACAACTTTTGGTGTCAGATCTTTCCTTCCATGATGTGGGCTCTGGGGATTAAATCAGATTGTCAGGCTGGGCGACAGTCTTGCCACTTTGCCAGCCTCCAATCAGCTCATTTTAAAAATCAAGCATTTTTTACAGAATCCAATCTAAGAATATGCACGTTTCTGTAACAATAGCATGCTTTCTATATACAGGAAATATATAAATAAGTAGCAAAATTCCTAACGGGTGGATCTGAGCCAAGGTGCTTCAGGCATTGTTTGCTGGTTCTGTGTGTGGTGACAGCACACTCAGGTCAAAGTGCACTTGTATGTTCAGAACCAAGGCTGCAGTGACATATTTGGACACAGAATGGGCAGGCTCTGCCAGAAATACCTCAGATTTGTTATATATTTGATTATTAAATTAATTTTTGTTTGTTGCACATTTTAGAAATCTCTTACTTGATTACAATTTTGTGAGCACCCCTTAATCCCAGCACTTGGGAGGCAGAGGCAGGCGGATCTTTGTGAGTTCGAGACCAGCCTGGTCTATAAGAGCTAGTTCCAGGACAGCCTCCAAAGCCACAGAGAAACCCTGTCTCGAAAAACCAAAAAAAAAAAAATTAAAAAAATAAAACAATTTTGTGAGCACCCCATGATAAATTATGAGAAGTTCCACAGTTTAAGAAGCCAAAATTTAAGATATTTGAGCTACACTCGAGTGTGTGTGTGTGTGTGTGTGTGTGTGTGTGTAGAATAAGACTAAAACTACTATGAAAGTTGATTCGTGACAAACCAAAAGCACTGGACACACATTCGTGTAACACGAATAATAAAAACCCAGAGACAGATATTGGGGTTCAAGCTGAAGATCAGAAAAACAAAGCAGTCAGCTAGTAGCTTTACCTCTACCAAGCTGAAATGGAGATCCTGTCTTCCCTGTGACTGGAAACTGAATCTCCCATGAGACCCTTTGCTTCTTCCTTATCTACCTCTCTAGTGCTGGAATTAAAGGTGTGAGCTCTGTTATTCTTTTTGACTGATTCACTCTCCTGTAGTCCAGGGTGGTCTTGGACTCACAGAGATCCATCTGCCTGTCTCCTGAGTCCTGAGATTAAAGGTGTGTGCCACCACTGCCCAGCGTCTATAGCTAACTAGTGTGGCTGGCTTTGCATTCTGATCCCCAGTGGCTTTATTAAATCATAAACAATAGATCACCACACATTAGATATCAATGGATGTTAATTCTTATTACTGTCTTCCATAGTTTGTCTCTCCTGCTCCTTTATCGAGAGCTCTTACACAGGGACATATGCTGGGCCTGAAGAAACTTGTAAAAGCCTGTGGTTTGATATCTGGTTAAATCCTTATGATGTTTAGTATTATAAATTTGACAATTAGAATCACCCGTGAGGGAGTACATAGTTTAGATTATCTCCTGGCCATGCCCAGGAGGATTATCTAGATTAGGATCACCTAGAATATAGGCCTTGTGCATGCCTGTGAGGGATTATATAGATTAGGTTATCCAGTTGGCTGTGCCCTTGAGAATTATCTAGATTAGGTTATCTGTGGGTAGTGCCATTCCATTTAATGGGATCCTGGGCAGAATACAAAGGAGAAAACTAACACAAGCATTCATTCTCTCCTGTTTCTGAGCGTATACCCAATGTGGTCTTCCACCTCAAGCTCTGTCCTCACGATTTCCTCATCATGATGAAGGTATGTATGGCTTCAGCTGTACGGTGGAATAAACCTTTCCTTCCTTAAATTGCTTTTGTCACATATTTTATCGCAGCAACGGGCAAAGTGACCGACAAAGTTCTTGCTAAACAAGTCTATCCTGAGCTCACTGCTGGCGTGGCTGGGATGTGGGTGTTCCCGCCCACATCCCAGCCACTGTAAACACCGTGGACAGGGATAATGCCTCCAAGGGCACAGGTCACTTCAGCCGGTGGGCGAATTCTGATACTCTATTCCCTGCATGAGTTCGTCTTCTTCTTCTCCTTTTTTTTTTTGAGACAGGATATCTCACAGAAATCCTCCTGCCTCTGCTTCCCGGTGTGCTGGGATTAAAGAAGCATGCCATTACACCCAACTCATACGAAGTTGTAAGAGGAAACTCGTAGAGAAGCCTGTGCGTGCGCGAGACCGGATGGGGGCGTGGCGTGCAGGCAGGGACTCCAGCCAGGGTTCCTCAGGCTCCGCCCCACCGAGTGTGTGGGGGAGGCAGCTTCTGACGTCACGGAGGGCCGGCCGGACAAGGGGCGTAGCCAACTGGGGCGGCCCCGTGGGGGACGGGGTCTGCGGTGGAGGGGCGGGGCGCTGGCGCGTCCTGGAGCGGAGGCCGCCGCAGCCGCCGAGTAGCCGGCAGCTGCTGACGCGCCGCGGGCCCGCGCCCTTCCCTGCTCGTCCTCTCGGTGCCTCTTCTCAGCCCCGGGTGTCCACGCCGGGCCCCCGCACAGCTGGCCGAGTCGCCGGCCGGACGCCCGACTCGGGCGGACGCTGCGCCGAGGAGCCGCGCGGCCCGGCGCACACGGAAGTAGTGAGTGTCACGGTGGGGAGGTGGAGACGGCCGCGGTCAGCTCGGGGACGGTGCGAGGAGCACGAAGCGGGGCGACCCGGGCGGCCGGGGTGGCAGGGCGGGGATTTCCAGGCGGCGGCCGGGAGGGGAGGGGAGAGATGGGGAGGGCCGCTCTGCTAACAGCGGCCCGCGCCGCCGACATCCTGTTTATGGCCCCGCGGCCTGCGCGCCGACGGCCCCTTGCGCTGCTGGGACAGCCCGACCGCAGCACTCGCCGAGGGTCGTGGCTGGCGTCCTGCCTGGTCGGCTCGTGCAGGGGGACTTTCTGGGTTTTGGGACTGCGTGGGGCGCGCCCGGGAACTCCGGACCGCAGTTTGCTGGGAAGCAGCGTGATGGAGGGCTGTGGGTGAATGGACAGGGGAGAGGGGACTGCCAGCCCTACCCAAAGGGACCCGATTCATCGAAACTGGGTCTAGTATCCGTGTGGCTCCCCAACTCCTTGCACCGTTTCCGTGTGGCCGCCTGCAGTTGCCTCAGATGCAGTAGGAACCCCCGGAGACACTCCCAGGCTCCTGGGATGCCTGTTTACGGAGGAAGTTCTTTAGGGAGACTAGATCCGAGGTGTGGTTATCACCAGGTGCCTGTGCGCCCCCTTAGGAGGTGTATTCTCTGTGATTTCCCGGGGAAGGGGGGACAAGGACTGCGCCTTAATTGAAAGTCTTAATTCACGGTTGTGACCTGTCTTCTGCTCCTGCTTGGATACACGAGTATCCTCCCCAGCCATAGAGTTCAGTCGCAGCTACTTAAGGTAGTATAAAATTGCCATTGTTTCTTTCACGGAAGAAGGCACGAAAACCTTGGGTCGTTAAATAAGTAGAACACGGAGACAAGTATCTAGTCTTTGGGTGTTGCCCTCCCCTTTTAAAAAGAAAATATTTGAGCTATGTGTGGGCATATATACAGTGTAAAAAGCTTTTGAAAAAAGATAAACATTTTATATTGATTAAATCTTTGTTCCTGCCTTTCCAAAACTACATTTTGTGTTGCTTATTGCTTTTGATTTTGGAGACTCTGATGTTTCTCAAGTACTAGGATTTGGGGTGGTGTGAAGCAAGAGCACACGCACCCCCTCACCCCCTGACTCGGTAGTGCCCAAGTTGAGAGATCATGTGTTGAGGCACCAGGTGAGAAATAAGATTTGGGGTGCTGTGTGGCAAGTCATTTCATTCCTGGCTTCAGTTTCTCGAGATCCCGGGGGCACTTTTTAATTGAAGGGTCAATGTGTCCCTTTACACTTTGTGGTGGAGGTTAATGGAGACTACCAGCCAGCCTTATAGACAGCTCTGGTATAACATGCTTTGTAATACTCAGTAAATCTCTCTTCTGTATGGATCTAGAGCATGTTGAAAGAAACAGATACATCCTACAGAAGAAAGTGTGGGCATTATGAGTAGTAATTACAACTTAAGTCGATGTATCATATTAACTAGGCACTTAAGACTGTATTTCAGTTTCTCTACACTGATGTAATTTTTTCTTTCTCAGATTTCACTGTTAGGCTTCATATTGAAAACAGCTAGTTTAAACTGTTCCAATCCCATGTCACAGGACACTATTTACTGGCCCTGGGAAATGATGCTAGAAAGTGAATGAATATTGGTACAATATTCAGACCTTTCCCCAAATGTAACCATGTTCTATTTTGTTGTAATTTTCCGCATGTGTTAGTATCAGTTTGGCTTACCAGGAAGATCTTTGTCTTTCTGGCTACTTCTGGTGTCCTTCCTTTACAAATTTAAGGTGCTGGGGAAGTTAGGCTGTAAAATCTTTAATTCAGGAAGCTGCTGTAAAAAGCTAGTGAAAAGTACGGAGTTTTGAGGATAGGGTTGCTTTTACAGGACTATGTTTGCCTTCAATTACATGAGAGAGCTTAGCCTTGGGATTTCCAAAGAAGACCATGAAGTCTGCCGATTTAAACGGGCTTACCTTTACAAACAATAATGGTTCTAAAGAAGACAGATCTCAACAGCACATCACCAGCCATGGATCTTAATACTGTCCAAAGACATCACTCTGTTCTTCCGAATAACTTGAAGAAACACATGTATTTGTAGAGAAACACAAATGAAGCAACTACTGAGACTATATGTATACTTAGACCCAGCTTTATACAGAGAACACTAGTTGTAAATAATTGTATTAATAGAAAACATTTTACAGCCCAGGGAAGACAAGACAGGACATGTGTTTTCTGTCAGATTTTCTGTGTTTTCTCCATTAAGCACACATATTCTGTATATCTTTAGTATAATCTAGTGAGATGATAATAATCTGCTAGATTTATTGTCTGAGATATGCTTATTTGTACAAAGAATTTTTCTTTTGTTTTTGTTTTTTTGAGACAGGGTTTCTTTGTGTAGCACTGGTTGTCCTGGAACTAGTTATGTAGATCAGGCTGGCCTTAAACTCAGAGCTCCTTCTGCCTTTGCCTCCTGAGTGCTGGAACTAAAGGTGTGTACCACAACTCCTGGCTTGTGTGCAAAGAATTTTTAAAAAATAATTTTCATGTAGCTGGGGAGATGGCTCAGCAGTTAATAGCACTAGCTGTTCTTCTAGAGGACCTGGGCTCAATTCCCAGCACCTACATTTCAGCCCATAACTGTCTTAATGACAGTTGCAGGGGATCCAATACCCTTAAACAGACATGCAGGCAAAACATCAAGGTACGTAAAAGTAAATCATCTGAAAAGTTAAGAAAACTAATTTTCACATAAAGAATTTCAGGTGGACAGGAAATTGGCCATTGAAGCAGAATCTAGCTGAGCAAGCAACTTATGATGTTCTCTGATGTGCTGAGGCTTAATGGTACATGGAGCCCTGCCATTCAATAGAGATGCTTGAAGGAGCCTTGATGAATCTTTCAGACTAGTGGTTAACAGCTTGGTAAAATTTCAGGCTCAGGGAGACATTGCTATCTCTGGGGAGTTTTCGAAGTTACACCCTGGGGGAAAGGTGGCATCTGGTGGGTAGAGGCTGGGTATACTGTTAAACACCCAGTAATGCACAGGACAGCCCTTCCAATAACAAAGCATGACCGGATCAAATTGCCATTAGTGGTCAGGGAGAGATCATGCTTAGGGATACCAGGTGAGAAAAGAGATATGGGGCCCATGTTGTGGCGAGTTGTTTCATTCCTGGCACTGGCTTTCATGTTCTAGAAACAAATGAAAGCACCCAGGTTAGTTATTTTGCAGTCTTGTGGGGAAGCCAGTATTTAATGCAAACATAATGCACGGAAGCCCAAGGACACACAAACTAGAGCAGCTCTGAAGAAACTGCATAATGAATTGTTAAATAGAGTGGAAGCTGGTGAGGAAGGCACTAAGTTCAGTGCTGAGTGTAGAACAGGAGGGATGGTTTAATGTTATTGAATCACTATTGTTTTTGTAATGGAGGATTCATTTAGACCTTTTTGTGTGTAGTTTTCTTCCTTTTTTTAAAATACAAAACTCATTTTCTCACGACAAGGAGGAAATTCACTGTAGAAAAATAAGAAAATGTAAGAAACTAGAGGAAAAAAAAAATCCCCCATGCTCTATTGCTTTTCCCATTAAAGACAGTCACATTCATACCACATTTCCTTTGAGCATGGTTAAAATCGGAAGCAGACTTCCATAGAGGGGAGCAGAGCTGTTGGTGGCCCAGTGGGAGAGGGGAGTGGATGCTACTTTTTAAAAAAAGATTTAATTTAATGTATTTTATGTGTATTGGTGTTTTGTCTGCAATCATGTCTGTGTGAGGATGTTTGGTCCCCTGGGACTGAAGTTACAGACAGTCATGAGCATCCATGTGAGTGATGGGAGTTGAACCCAGGTCCTCTGGAAAAACAGCAGTCCGTGCTCTTAACCACTGAGCCATCTCTCCAGCCTTGAATGCTACTTATTTCTGTGCCCTCCATTTTCCCCTTTTAAATAATTCTGACCAAGTGAGGTGTAGTACTTAGCACTTGGGAGGCTGGGGCAGGAGGAGTGCATGAATTCAGGAGTTGGGGGTTCAGACTGGGATAGGAGTAAGAGATATTTTCCTAAAAAATACTGTAATATAGAGGTCCACAGACATTGACTAATCAGTGCTGATGTGTTTTGTAAAAGTACCAAGCCCTGTCCTTAGTCCTTTGGTTGTTTTCTCTGCTTCTTGTGCTCCTCGTCCTCAGTGAGGTATGACACTGTAGCTTCCGATCTAAAAAACTTTCTGGTAGCATGGTTTTAGACAGCTGCCATGTTGAAATGCTGGGGTTTCAGGGTTAGGAAACAAATTCCTGTGAATGCTCTTCCCTTTGAAGTACACCTACACTTCTGGCAGTTGTGGCAACCAGAAAGAATAAAACATGAAGTTCCTTTCTGTGATACCTGCACTTGAGGTTTTACGATGTCGGTTCTTCAGATCATTCCCCAGTACTCTGAGTACATCCCTTAGTCCCAAGGCAAGATGTGCAATAGCAGCAAAAGGAAGAACTGTTAATTATTGTTGTTTTGAGATCTGGTCTTCCTTTAGCCTAGGCTGATCTGGAACTTTGTATGTGATCTCAGATGTTGCGATCCTCTTGTTTCAAGCCTCCCAAGTGCTGGGATTAGAGATAGGAGCCAACAGGAACATTCTTTTAAGTGTACTCTGGCCAAAGACAGCTGACATTTGTTGTGATATTTTTAATCTATGTAACTGGTTTATTTAATATCTGAATTCATGTGACACTTTGTGTATCTATTTGTTAATTCAGTAAATAGGTATTGGCCTCTTACTAATCATAGTCACAGAGAGTGAATAAACCAAATAAAATACACAGGAATCCCTGCCCTCATAGGGTGTGCAGTCTGGAAGAAAAACTTTGAGGGTGTACCAGTTTTGGTGGCATGGATTACACATGTAGAACAAGTGAGTGCCACGGGTGATTGCAGAATGTCCTACAAACCTTCAATGTACTCCTTCCCAATATGAAGATTAAGGAGTAGCTTATGGGTTTT